CATTGTTCTCAGGTATATAGCTTATTTTTATCACGAAGAACATAACTTAGGAAGTAGTTTTCATAGGCAAAGATTAAGATTATGAGAAATTAACCCTTGTTATTTGCACTACACTATATTAGTATTAAAGTATTAATCTAAAAATTAGTAATGAATAATATTATAGTTATCGGTCTGCAATGGGGGGATGAAGGTAAGGGCAAAATAGTAGATTACCTTTCTGAGAAAGTAGATGCAGTTGTTAGATTTCAGGGTGGAAACAATGCTGGACACACCATAGTAGTAGATGATCAAGTCTATAAATTAAATTTGCTACCCTCCGCTGTTTTAAGACCTAACAAGATATCTATTATAGGAAATGGCGTTGCTCTTGACCCACATGCATTAATCTCAGAAATTGAATTATTGAGAGTGAAGCGGATAGATATAAACCCTAATAATTTAGCAATATCAGAAAGTTGTCCTCTAATATTAAGTGTACATAAAGATAAAGAAAGACTATTTGAAGACTTAAATGGAAATCATAAAATTGGAACTACAAATAAAGGTATAGGTCCGTGCTATGAAGATAAAGTGGGAAGAAGAGCGATACGTCTCTGTGACTTGGAAAGCGAGGATGAGTTAAATCAAAGAATAGAAACTCTTCTTAATTACCATAATGCAATCAGAAAGGGCTTGGGTAGCAAATTAGTAAAAAAAGAAGAAATGATAAAAGAGCTCCAAAAAATCTCAAAAAAGATTCTTCCATATAAGAAATCAGTATGGAAGGTATTAAATAATCTGGTGACGGAGAATAAGAAAATAATATTTGAAGGAGCTCAAGGTACGTTCTTAGACATCGATCATGGGACGTATCCATTTGTGACTTCAAGTAATACTATAGCAGCACAGGCAATAACGGGCTCGGGATTATCTTCAAGAGCTAATGTTATTGGAATAGCAAAAGCCTATACAACAAGGGTTGGCAACGGTCCATTTCCTACTGAGCAAAAGAATGAAATAGGAGATAGCTTGTTTACTGCAGGAAAGGAAGTGGGAACGGTAAGCAATAGACGAAGGCGCTGTGGGTGGTTTGATGCAGTCTTAGTGCGTCAAGCCGTGAAGCTTTCTGGAGTTTCGTGTATTATACTAACTAAATTGGATATACTTGATTCATTTGATAATATTAAAATATGTACTAGATATCAGTATAATCATGAAGAGTATGATCATTTACCAGCATCACATGTAATACAAAAAGAACTAGAACCAATATATGAAGAATTCCCTGGCTGGAAGGAGGATACTCAAGGTAAGCGATATACTGAAGATCTGCCTGCTAATTTGATAAAATATGTAGAAAGAATAGAACAATTAATAGGCGTACCGGTTAATCTAATTTCAACCAGCCCAAAAAGAGAAGATATTATCACACTAAAGAGAACTATTAACGAAGTGCCATTTAATGAACAAATTTACTAATGTTTGCATGCCTAATTTTAAAATATCTGCTTGAGTTTTTATATAAAACATTAATGCAAATAGACATGAAATCAAGCCACCCTGATG